AGGACGACCCGACATTCTATTGGTCGATACTTTTTGGAGGGAAAGTTCCTTTGTAAGAACTTTCCACCCAATTAGAAGAAAGAGACCTTTCGAGAAGACTAGTTGTCTTAGTCTAGCTCTGGTTATTATTGGAAAAGAATTTCATTTAGAATGCATATATTTTCATGGTATAGATTGGACTGATTCAATATAAAAAGGATCAGCACATGACCCTCTACCCATAGTTGGGGTAAGCAGTATTTAATCTATTGTTTTAACGAATGTATAATTATTATAGATGTATCCTAGTCAGATTATTTGTCGTGACATTATTCTGTTTCCTGTATATTGAAAAAGGAAGATTTGGATCATATCCATTATCTAGTATAGAGGGATATTGTTGTTATTAGTCAACCAGAGGATTATCTCCCCTTGTTGCATTCTATGTATTGTGTGAACAATAGGAAAAGTCAAATAGTAATCTTTCTTTCTTTCAAAGTCATCATGATTGTACATGTATGTATAGAGAGAGATGAATAGATTTTATTGAATTAGATAAATAGGATAGGTATAATGTTTATGTGGATTTTATATGATTTATATAGTTGTGACTTATTATAGCTAATGTATGTATAGATATTAAATAGGGTACACATTGTGATACTAGTAAAGAGATATGTATGTAACTATGTTACTTATAGTAGTGTAATTTTGTATTGCAGGATCAAAACCATCTATATCTGTACATCATCCCTACTAGCTGGTCTATATCTGTATATCATCCCTACTAACTGGTCTATATCTGTACATCATCCCTACTAGCTGGTCTATATCTGTATATCATCCCTACTAGCTGGTCTATATCTTTACATCATCCATACTAGCTGGTCTATAGCTGTACATCATCCATACTAGCTGGTCTGTATCTGTACATCATCCATACTAGCTGGTATATATCTGTACATCATCCCTACTAGCTGGTCTGTATCTGTACATCATCCATACTAGCTGGTATATATCTGTACATCATCCATACTAGCTGGTCTGTATCTGTACATCATCCATACTAGCTGGTCTGTATCTGTACATCATCCATACTATCTGGTCTATATCTGTACATCATCCCTATTAGCGGGTCTATATCTGTACATCATCCATACTAACTGGTCTATATCTGTACATCATCCATACCAGCTGGTCTATATCTGTACATCATCCCTACTAGCTGGTCCATATCTGTACATCATCCCTATTAGCTGGTTTGTATCTGTACATCATCCATACTAGCTGGTATATATCTGTACATCATCCATACTAGCTTGTCTATATCTGTACATCATCCCTACTAGCTGGTCTGTATCTGTACATCATCCATACTAGCTGGTATATATCTGTACATCATCCCTACTAGCTGGTCTGTATCTGTACATCATCCATACTAGCTGGTATATATCTGTACATCATCCCTACTAGCTGGCCTATATCTGTACAACATCCCTACTAGCTGGTCTATATCTGTACGTCATCCATACTAGCTGGTCTATATATGTCCATCATCCATACTAGCTGGTCTATATCTCCACATCATCTATACTAGCTGGTCTATATCTGTACATCAACCATACCAGCTGGTCTATATATGTACATCATCCATACTAGCTGGTCTATATCTGCACATCATCCCTACTAGCTGGTCTATATCTTTACATCATCCATACTAGCTGGTCTATAGCTGTACATCATCCATACTAGCTGGTCTGTATCTGTACATCATCCATACTATCTGGTCTATATCTGTACATCATCCCTATTAGCGGGTCTATATCTGTACATCATCCATACTATCTGGTCTATATCTGTACATCATCCCTATTAGCGGGTCTATATCTGTACATCATCCATACTATCTGGTCTATATCTGTACATCATCCCTATTAGCGGGTCTATATCTGTACATCATCCATACTAGATGGGCTATATCTGTACACCATCCCTACTAGCTGGTCTATATCTGTACATCATACCTACTAGCTGGTCTATATCTGTACATCAACCATACCAGCTGGTCTATATATGTACATCATCCATCCTAGCTGGTCTATATCTGTACATCATCCGTACAAGCTGGTCTATATCTGTACACCATCCATGCTAGCTGGTCTATATATGTACATCATCCATCCTAGCTGGTCTATATCTGTACATCATCCATTCTAGCTGGTCTATATATGTACATCATCCCTACTAGCTGGTCTATATCTGTACATCATCCCTATTAGCTGGTCTGTATCTGTACATCATCCATACTAGCTGGTCTATATCTGTACATCATCCGTACAAGCTGGTCTATATCTGTACACCATCTCTACTAGCTGGTCTATATCTGTACATCACCCATACTAGCTGGTCTATATCTGTACACCATCCGTACAAGCTGGTCTATATCTGTACACCATCCATGCTAGCTGGTCTATATATGTACATCATCCCTACTAGCTAGTCTATATCTGTACATCATCCATACTAGCTGGTATATTTCTGTACATCATCCATACTAGCTGGTCTATATCGGTACATCATCCATACTAGCTGGTCTATGTCTGTACATCATCCCTACAAGCTGGTCTATATCTGTACACCATCTCTACTAGCTGGTCTATATCTGTACATCATCCATACTAGCTGGTCTATATCTGTACATCATCCCTACAAGCTGGTCTATATCTGTACACCATCCCTACTAGCTGGTCTATATCTGTACATCATCCATACTAGCTAGTCTATATCTGTACATTATCCATACTAGCTGGTATATATCTATACATCATCCATACTAGATGGTCTATATCTGTATATCATCCATACTAGCTAGTCTATATCTGTACACCATCCATACTAGCTGGGAACTGTTTGTGTGCAATATCTATACTATTTACTGTGATCGTCATATCGGAGAGACAATAAAAGCTCGAACCCGACCCGGTTGACTTTGTAATTATTCAAGGACCCAACCCGGTTACATAATGATATTTTGATAGAAGCATGCTGGGTTGGAAGACTATAAATTATGTTCAACCTAATATCCTTGTTAAACATTCAACGTCACGGGTGTCATATGTTTAAATATTTTAATAGGTTATTATTAATCAAACACCAATATTCTGCCTGTAGTTGTATTTTAGTCCACTTTTAAGATAACAAGTGTGAAATTAGTACCAGGTGAGCGATTCAGGCCCATTGGGCCTCTTGTTCCACTAAAGATTGATTACAATGTAGTAATATCAACTTTTATTTTAACCTTACCTAACTGGTCCTTTAGAATTGTAAAAATATATTTATTGCCGCAATCATCATTACCAAGAAAAAATATAACGTTAGTGCAGGGAAATTCGCCATACTCACAGATTCGCCACCCGGTGGCGAAAATGCCATATGAAGTCATAATACATAAGATGTGACCTAAATAACGTCACCATAGTCTTCAACACAGTTAAAGCCTTCAAAAAAAATTCAAGAAAAGGTACGAAAACGGAACAGTTATTTTATTAATCAAAACAGTTACGAATTATTTTGTAACGCAACGAATCTTAAAAATTGGGTCCGTACGATGGACATCTCGTCAACTTAACTCATTGATCTGTGGCCTGTTGGTTGTGATTTAGTATAAATGCATTACATAGAAATTGAAAATACCCATATCTCAACGGTAATTCATTTTCCATTTTCATGCAATATGTATTTAGAAAACAATCAACCAGTATATTTTTTTAAAAAAAGTATTGTTTGCGCCTAGCATTCAGCTATCATACAACACTTTGATTAGAATAACATCTAGAAATTTGCTAGATTTATATTTGAAAATAATTTGTTGTCGGCCTCAAAGCAGGCCTGCGTACTGCTGTACAATCGCTGATGATTACGTCAAGAGACCAACATGGAGTTACCAAAGACTGTTTTTTACATGAAAAAGTAAGTACATTTACAACACTTGGGGCAGTCTCTGTTGAATTAGTTTTCGAGCCCAAAAAAATCGTTTTAATTTGTCAGATATGTTGACGTGCAAGACGATCAGAGTTGATACATGTATGTGACAAATTAACCAAAAGTCGAGGGAAAAAGCTTGAGACGACCGTTAAAAGCCCTAGCTGGACCGTCTCGTCCGCACCTGATGAAAAATATAATTTTGGTTTAGGGTTAAGAAGTTCATATTTGTTCAGGAATGAGCGTTTATTGCGCTGCATATAAATTGATCTCATCTCAGCCGGTCCCAGCCATCTTACTCAAACAGCATTAATCAGTTTCTTCAAGTTACCGAAAATTAACTATCACAACTAAGAAAAGCCATTCACACACATCTGGAGCTGTTCGTATCAGTACGACTTGGGTAACATAAACATACAAAATGTTACGTTTAAACACTTACATTACTTGCAAATTAGTGAAATGTTTGAATGTGGCGAAACTGCCTGCACCACAGAAGGCCTGATGACGTCACAGTTGTTGCTACATGACGTCATTCAGACGTGTTTACAACAATGTTTATTTATAGGCATTTCAGTCAAACATCTTCTTCTGTACTGGTGTTCATCGGCATTATGATACATGTGTATTTGGACAAATTATTAACCCTTACTAATGTGACGAATTTGCCTGCACTTACGTTGGTTAGTTACTGTATAATCCTGCTACTGCTAAAATGTTTGTTTACATAATCGTTATCGCCCTCGTCCTCTTCGATTTACGCCTAAATGTTCTCATTTCTAACAAATACAGCTAATATTACAGCACTTTAAAATAATTAAGTCATGGTTTTAGAGTAGAACCATGTATATAGCTTATAAACTTTGTAATTCTACTTTCGTTTTGAGGCATATGTCAAACACTTAAAAGTCAATAAAATGTCCTTTTTTTCTCTCCCATGAACATGAGGTCTTAACATACAATGAGAGAAGGGTGTTAGTCGATCAACATCGTGTCATTATAGTTCCATTGGACACAGAAGTCTCAAAATAAGCACTTACCTTCGTCGTTCTCATCCAGCTGATGTAATCGTATCCAGGTCTGTGACAAGGACTGTGATTGGTTCAAACCACTCACGTGATCTATACACTGTCAGCTATCAGGGGAAGTCCAAACTTTTTGTGGAAATTCCCATAGATATTTTTAGAAAACGTTCGTGCTGACAAAATTCTAAATATCGATTTAGTCGTGTGTTTAAATCAAGTCTAAAATAATCTTATTAATTTTTTTTCATCACTCCAATGTCGGTTGAAATGGCATATGATTGAACTTTTATTAGATGGAATCTAAAAGTGGATTTTGTTCAGGATTGAGTTTGTTGTTCTCCAGATAGGAATACGTTGGGTGGAGATTTTTTTTATTGCGACCCATTTGATTGTCTAACCAGTCTACGATTATTAAAAAGAAATAAAAATAATAATTGTCAACTCAATGACATAGTAAGATCACCTTTAAAATACTACAACTTATTAAATCATTCTAACTGAAGTTAAAACTGTGTAAACCAGTGGATAAAGATTCATAACTCTCATATGTTAAACACAAAAAATACTTTTAATTTCAACCATTCTATTCAAAAATGTATGAATTTCAAATTTCGATTTTACGTATCGACAGCTAATTTAGCTTCATCAAGCGGATATAGCCATTGGGTATGATGAATGTTCGTTGTGTATCGACACTTAACCTACAAAAACTTGTGTTTTTTTTTCTATTGTGATGATTAAACCAGTACCTAGTCTGTTTGCGGGCACGAGACCTTCATTTAATCCGCCATAAAAGGTATATGGTGCATTTTCTGTCCAGAGTATCTCGTGTGCTGTAACACACTATAAGATGTATCCTGTTTGGTATATACTATTGTCTACTCATTAAAACAGAGGCCTGTGTCGTTAACTATATGACATTACCAATGTCATTATATTCATAAAGCCAACAAAAATACTAGTTTCACGAGCACAGGGGCTTGTGTCGTTTGATATGTAACCACGGCATGAGTTCCAGTGTTATTTTCTATCTATAAAGTCAACTAATGTGCACTTTCCTCGGGAGCACAAGGGCCTGTGTCGTCTATAACATGTAACCACAGTGAAAATACTAATGTCGTTATACATGATGGATCTTTAGTCAACTATAGCACTGTCGTAAGCTGGGACACAGGGACTTGTGTTGTCTGATATGTAACTACGGCGCCAATACCAATGCTATTATACATGATGTATATACATACATAGTCAACTAAAACACTAGTCTCAGGAACACAGAGGCTTGTGTCGTCTGCTATGTAACCACGGCGCAAAAACACTAGCATCATTAACAAAGGGGCTTGTGTCGTCTGCTATGTAACCACGGCGCAACAACACTAGTCTCAGGAACACTGGGGCTTGTGTCGTCTGCTATGTAACCACGGCGAAAAATATAGAACGATACAGCTAATGTGCACCTAGCTGCGATGGCATAGCTCCTTACGACCTGACGATTTTTTATGTATATTGCGTAGCCAGGTTTTAATATTAGTATTATGTATGAACCAACCATAAACAAAGAAGCAGCACTGAGAAAATGAATCACAAAAAAAGTTCCTGTCGAACGGACAAGACTGAAAACCAGCGTAACCAGGGACATCACGGTAAGTGATATGTATATAAAGAAATATGTCGGTGAAATATTTTTTGTGTTTTCAGATTCTTTCTTTAGTTTTCAAAAGACAAAGAAGGCGATGCATTTTTTTAATTTTTTTTTGACATTTGGATGCTAATTGTCGGAAAGATGAATATTTCGAGTTAAGCACCCCTCCTTCACCCTTTCGCGGTCAGTCACCACTACAAGAAACCAAACAATAAGATGGTCAGGTGGATTAGTAGATAGCGCCCTCACCTTTCACGAAGTAAACTGGTATACATGTCTTATTTTTATGGTTTAATTCACATGCTGGTTCCAACTTGCAGATGATGAACTTTATACAATTGTTATTTTTTACTACATTTCTTCGATATCTATTGTTAGCTCACCTGGTCCGAAGGACCAAGGTAAGCTTATGCCATACCGTGGCGTCCGTCGTCCATCCGTCCGTCCGTCCGTCGTCCGTCCGTCAACAATTTCTTTAAACGACTTCTTCTTCTTAACCACTTATTGGAATTCAACTAAATTTGACTGGAAGCATCCCTAGGTGGTGGGGATTCAAAATTGTACAAATGGTGGGGCTGAACCTCAAGGGGGCTGAGGGGCGGGGCCAAAAGGGGTCAATTTGGCTATATTGCTTTAAGCGACTTCTCTGGAACTAAGAAGTGGATATCAACCATATTTGACTGGAAGCATCCCTAGGTGGTGGGGATTCAAAATTGTACAAATGATTGGACTGACCCCCCAGGGGGCTGAGGGGTGGGGCAAAAAGGGGGCAATTTGGCTATATTGCTACCAACGACTTCTTCTGTAGAACTGTGCCATGGATATCAACCATATTTGACTGGAAGCATCCCTAGGTGGTGGGATCATCTGGAGCTGTTCGTATCAGTACGACTTGGGTAACATAAACATACAAAATGTTACATTTAAACACTTACATTACTTGCAAATTAGTGAAATGTTTGAATGTGGCGAAACTGCCTGCACCACAGAAGGCCTGATGACGTCACAGTTGTTGCTGCATGACGTCATTCAGACGTGTTTACAACAATGTTTATTTATAGGCATTTCAGTCACATATATTCTTCTGTACTGGTGTTCATCGGCATTATGATACATGTGTATTTGGACAAATTATTAACCCTTACTAATGTGACGAATTTGCCTGCACTTACGTTGGTTAGTTACTGTATAATCCTGCTACTGCTAAAATGTTTGTTTACATAATCGTTATCGCCCTCGTCCTCTTCGATTTACGCCTAAATGTTCTCATTTCTAACAAATACAGTTAATATTACAGCACTTTAAAATAATTAAGTCATGGTTTTAGAGTGGAACCATGTATATAGCTTATAAACTTTGTAATTCTACTTTCGTTTTGAGGCATATGTCAAACGCTTAAAAGTCAATAAAATGTCCTTTTTTTCTCTCCCATGAACATGAGGTCTTAACATACAATGAGAGAAGGGTGTTAGTCGATCAACATCGTGTCATTATAGTTCCATTGGACACAGAAGTCTCAAAATAAGCACTTACCTTCGTCGTTCTCATCCAGCTGATGTAATCGTATCCAGGTCTGTGACTGTGATTGGTTCAAACCACTCACGTGATCTATATATACACTGTCAGCTATCAGGGGAAGTCCAAACTTTTTGTGGAAATTCCTATAGATATTTTTAGAAAACGTTCGTGCTGACAAAATTCTAAATATCGATTTAGTCGTGTGTTTAAATCAAGTCTAAAATAATCTATTAATTTTTTTTCATCACTCCAATGTCGGTTGAAATGGCATATGATTGAACTTTTATTAGATGGAATCTAAAAGTGGATTTTGTTCAGGATTGAGTTTGTTGTTCTCCAGATAGGAATACGTTGGGTGGGGATTTTTTTTATTGCGACCCATTTGATTGTCTAACCAGTCTACGGTTATTAAAAAGAAATAAAAATAATAATAACTGTGCTTTTTCCCCAGATAACCAAGTCAAGGAAGACGTGCACACACGACACGCACGTCTTTTTTTAGGACTCAGTCGAACCAAGTTTTGTCAACTCAATGACATAGTAAGATCACCTTTAAAATACTACAACTTATTAAATCATTCTAACTGAAGTTAAAACTGTGTAAACCAGTGGATAAAGATTCATCACTCTCATATGTTAAACACAAAAAATACTTTTAATTTCAACCATTCTATTCAAAAATGTATGAATTTCAAATTTCGATTTTACGTATCGACAGCTAATTTAGCTTCATAAAGCGGATATAGCCATTGGGTATGATGAATGTTCGTTGTGTATCGACACTTAACCTACAAAAACTTGTGGGTTTTTTTTTCTATTGTGATGATTAAACCAGTACCTAGTCTGTTGGCGGGCACGAGACCTTCATTTAATCCGCCATAAAAGGTATATGGTGCATTTTCTGTCCAGAGTATCTCGTGTGCTGTAACACACTATAAGATGTATCCTGTTTGGTATATACTATTGTCTACTCATTAAAACAGAGGCCTGTGTCGTTAACTATATGACATTACCAATGTCATTATATTCATAAAGCCAACAAAAATACTAGTTTCACGAGCACAGGGGCTTGTGTCGTTTGATATGTAACCACGGCATGAGTTCCAGTGTTATTTTCTATCTATAAAGTCAACTAATGTGCACTTTCCTCGGGAGCACAAGGGCCTGTGTCGTCTATAACATGTAACCACAGTGAAAATACTAATGTCGTTATACATGATGGATCTTTAGTCAACTATAGCACTGTCGTAAGCTGGGACACAGGGACTTGTGTTGTCTGATATGTAACTACGGCGCCAATACCAATGCTATTATACATGATGTATATACATACATAGTCAACTAAAACACTAGTCTCAGGAACACAGAGGCTTGTGTCGTCTGCTATGTAACCACGGCGCAAAAACACTAGCATCATTAACAAAGGGGCTTGTGTCGTCTGCTATGTAACCACGGCGCAACAACACTAGTCTCAGGAACACTGGGGCTTGTGTCGTCTGCTATGTAACCACGGCGAAAAATATAGAACGATACAGCTAATGTGCACCTAGCTGCGATGGCATAGCTCCTTACGACCTGACGATTTTTTATGTATATTGCGTAGCCAGGTTTTAATATTAGTATTATGTATGAACCAACCATAAACAAAGAAGCAGCACTGAGAAAATGAATCACAAAAAAAGTTCCTGTCGAACGGACAAGACTGAAAACCAGCGTAACCAGGGACATCACGGTAAGTGATATGTATATAAAGAAATATGTCGGTGAAATATTTTTTGTGTTTTCAGATTCTTTCTTTAGTTTTCAAAAGACAAAGAAGGCGATGCATTTTTTTAATTTTTTTTTGACATTTGGATGCTAATTGTCGGAAAGATGAATATTTCGAGTTAAGCACCCCTCCTTCACCCTTTCGCGGTCAGTCACCACTACAAGAAACCAAACAATAAGATGGTCAGGTGGATTAGTAGATAGCGCCCTCACCTTTCACGAAGTAAACTGGTATACATGTCTTATTTTTATGGTTTAATTCACATGCTGGTTCCAACTTGCAGATGATGAACTTTATACAATTGTTATTTTTTACTACATTTCTTCGATATCTATTGTTAGCTCACCTGGTCCGAAGGACCAAGGTAAGCTTATGCCATACCGTGGCGTCCGTCGTCCATCCGTCCGTCCGTCCGTCGTCCGTCCGTCAACAATTTCTTTAAACGACTTCTTCTTCTTAACCACTTATTGGAATTCAACTAAATTTGACTGGAAGCATCCCTAGGTGGTGGGGATTCAAAATTGTACAAATGGTGGGGCTGAACCTCAAGGGGGCTGAGGGGCGGGGCCAAAAGGGGTCAATTTGGCTATATTGCTTTAAGCGACTTCTCTGGAACTAAGAAGTGGATATCAACCATATTTGACTGGAAGCATCCCTAGGTGGTGGGGATTCAAAATTGTACAAATGATTGGACTGACCCCCCAGGGGGCTGAGGGGTGGGGCAAAAAGGGGGCAATTTGGCTATATTGCTACCAACGACTTCTTCTGTAGAACTGTGCCATGGATATCAACCATATTTGACTGGAAGCATCCCTAGG